AATTGTATACATTATTACATTTGTGAGTGGATGTGCTTCACCTGACTTTAAATGAAGTTTATAGAAAACTTGAAAGATTGCTGTGAAAAAGAGCTTCAAATTTCGCATTTGCAGTAAACTTACACGCCATTTTCTCAAAAACGGCTTAAAATTTAGGAATAAAAAATGCTGTATAGAATGATATTTTACTTTGTTTTATGTTCTAAAAGTCAGATTTTGAATTTATCATTCTGAACCCTAAAAATTGAGAAAGTATGAGAAATGTTTAAAAAATGTATTAAGAGCAACGATAGATACAGCCAGCTAGAGGATAGGGCAAAACCGTAAAGCTAGCCCTCACCAAGGAAATTAGAAAACTTTGCTACGAAAACGTCTGTGCCATTCTACAGAATGGCACTAGTTTTTAACTTGTCCGAATTCCTGAATTCGTCGGGCTAGACAGCTTTCATTGATGAGATGAAGCAATTTCCTCAATGGCATGGTTCTCTCAATCACCTGCATAAAACATACAAATTTTTAAAAAATACAAAAATTTTTCCCGTGTCCTTTTACTTGAAAACCAGTAGTATTGTATGAATTGGCGATAATGAAGCTAAAAAATATTCCTGGGAGTTGTACTATAATGTTCACTAGCTTGTAGAACTTATTTTCCACGTACTGTAGGATCCGGGTCGAGATACTTCAGTTCAGTACACCGGAATGTTTAGTGCATTCCTAGAGGAGTGACAATGACATTCTTGGTCTCAAAAGTATGCGAAAAAGGCTTTCATCCTTACGAATCCCCTTTTCCCGACCTGTGATCACAGTAGGTGTTTGCATCTGACTTTCATTGTATGAAACGAAAGAGCAATCACAAGGGATGGACGCTGATGAGAAAGAAGAGTTAATGGATTGGATGATACTCACATGTGCGTTGCAAAAGAATGAGTAGTGAACTACGGTTTAATCATACAACCAGGGCCCGACAATGAGAAATTTTCTGCCTTACAAATTTCCATTTTCCGGCGCACAATTACGTAACTTTCTCTTCCTATGAAGTACATGCTCTTACAAAGTAAGGGCAGGAAAGTAAAAACAGTAAAGACTTGGGCTTCGAGAAATTCATTTCCATCCATGACCCAAGCAAATAAGCCATTCATTTTAGTTTCTCTTGGCTTTTTATGTTCTTCCTTTTTAGGGCGATGCGATCGAAGGAGTCTCAGAAGAGGCGCTTGATTTTCACTTTCCGGATGAGCTCCGGCAGCTTCTTGACCTCCCGCTGCACCTCGTGGCCCACTTTGTCCCGCAGGTTGCGCAGGTCCTTCTCCACGCGGTGCGACACGTCCTTCAGCACCTCGCGCGCCACCTGCGCGAATCGAATATAGTAACAACAACGACAACAACAATAATAATAATAATAATAATAATAGTAATAATAATAATAATAATAATAATAATAATAATAATAATAATGCGGATCGCCTCGGCCATGGGTGTATTTGTGTACGTCTGTATGAGTGTGTCCTTTCGCCCCTCATTATCATCATCATTTCATCTTCCACACCCCCAGGGCCAACAAGCTGGGCCTGGGATATAAAATGGAATCAGCATTAAAATTATTATTGTTTTGTATAAAATTAACGTGCAATTACCCTGATAATTAAAGTCTGCCACGATTCTCGTGGCCACCTGATAGCCCATTTGCGAAACAAAGAAAATGCATTTTAGGGTCAAGTTAATCTAACTTTTGCTAGCTATCGCCGTTCTCAGGCGTTGGCCCCCAATGTTTTAATTAATTAATCAGTAAGCAGTAAGGGATACACGAGGCGAGCACGATGCTTTCCTATAACTGCATCTGGCGCATTTGGCCTGCTCGAGCTTATCTTTCGTCACTCAGCTGTAGAAACTCAGACGATTGTATTAGAAAGCTGCAGCTATATTTTTTACTCAAATGAAAATTAGTACTGACAAACCAGATGTTATACAAGAATTGGAGAAAAATGTGTACTTTTGCTAATGCAAAACGAATGTGGAGCACTTTGTATTTGGTCTTAAATGATCACTAGTATTGTGACTGCCCAGCAAGGTTAGGCTGGAGCGTCAATTGAAGACGCAACCAATTTAAAAAACAAACTCTGCCGCCCCAACCATGGACGGCCCTGGAACCCAAGGCGGAGCGCAGTTCCTCAGCGGCAGAGCGCCTCCGGCGGCCGAGCAACTCGCCTTCTCGCGGCCGAACTTCTCCACGGCCTCCTGCGCGGACTGCGCGCTGCTCTCGGCCGCGCCTTCGGCCGCCTCCTCGCCCTCGCCCTCGCCCTCGGCGTCCTCGGCGAACAGCTGCGCGGGGTCCGCCCCCGCCCGCAGCAGGCGCTCCGCCGCCTCCGTCCTGCGCAGCGCACACACGCCCACCGCCCGTTGGAGGGACAGCGCCTACTCTCTCGCATTTATATGCGCAGTATCTCGCTCTCTCTATTTGTAATGGTCACGTTATATTACTATAACACTATTTGAACCGTCAAATTTGTTTTCAACCGCTAACATGTATTGCCTACCCTGAAATTCCAGCTCGTGGCACTTAGGTTTAGCAAGCAACGGGCATTATCAAAAACCGAACATTTGGCTCGGCATAAAAACTTTGCAGATGCGTTGGAACAGAAGCGAGACATGTTCATTTTCCAAATGTCGATGGCTTTAACAGATGTTCGAGTGCCGATGTAATTTTGGTACGCGAAAGACTCCAATGTCCATAACGGACTCCAGAATAAATTGGAAAGTAATTGAAAGAAAAAAAGATTTATTGAAAACCGAGCACTTCGTTATTTATTAACATATTACAATAACTTTTTTATAGTCCAATATTTTCAAGTTATAAAAAAACGTCATAGCCACATTTATTTTTACTTTCGCGCCTAACTACGCATACGTAATAAAGAGAAAGCTTGTAACCGTGCGACATCAATCTTACGACAGAAAAACTCTCAACACTTTGTAAAGAATAAAGATATTGATAGTTTTCCTATATGTAGCAAATTACTTCCTCTATCACTTTGTATTGTTAGAACAAATATTTTGAGGACACTTGGCAGCAAAAAATTCATTGATGGCAAAAAGACTGTCGCTGTACGTAAGGACGCTAAAGAAAATGGTGCAGGCGTATGTAGGGTTTCCGGGTCGAGCCGCGTCACTGCCATGGTGGCTGACGTTTCGGCCAGCGTATTGTGTCCTTCCTCAGAGCGCACTGCACATCATGCGGGTTTTCCAGGATAGCCTAGATAACACAAACTCCGGCCGCGGAAGCCTTCGCAAGCAAAACGGTGCAGGACCCATCTTCATTGAAATGCCAGATTTTCGAAAGTTAAATTAAAAATTGAAAAAGTTGGCGCACCTGTTGGCGGCGCCGCAGTAGCGCAGCGGCGTCCAGCGCAGCAGGGCGTCGCGGCGCCGCCAGTCCGCGCCCGCCGCCAGCAGCGCGTCCACGGCGCCCGCGCGGCCCAGCCCCGCTGCCACGTGCAGCGCCGTGCGCCCCAGGCGGTCCGCCACGTCCGGCGCCGCGCCCGCCTCCAGCGCCGCGCGCACGCCCGCCCTGCACGCCACCGCGCGCCCCGCGTCACGCCCACGCTCGCGCACGCCCACGCGCTCTCACTCTGGGGCACATGCGTTCTCACACTGGGAGATCATGCGTTCAGACTGGTGCACATGCGTTCAGACTGGGGCACATGCGTTCAGACTGTTGCACATGCGTTCAGACTGGTGCTCATGCCTTCTGACTGGTGCACATGCGTTCATACTGGTGCACATGCGTTCAGACTGGTGCATATGCGTTCAGACAGGTGGCACACGTATTCAGACTAGGGGCACATGCGTTCAGACTCGTGCTCAAGCGTTCAGACTGGTGCACATGCGTTCAGACAGGTGGCACACGTATTCAGACTAGGGGCACATGCGTTCAGACTGGTGCACATGCGGCGCGCCGGCGGCGCTGGGCCGCGAGCGGCGCGGGGCTGCTGTGGCTGGGCGAGGCGGCGAGCCCCGCTTCGCGCACTACTCCTTCGCCGAACTTCTTCGCCGCCAGCTGGCTCTTCGCCCACGCCGACGCCCCGCTCCCCGCCGCGCGCCGCCCCGCGGCCTGGGGCGCCATGCCCGCGGCGCCGCCCCCGGCGCGTCGCGCCGCTTGCTCGAGGGCTCATGCTGTGACGAGGCGCTGCCCGCTCCCACGCGCGCCGTCCTCGCACGGACCCCCGCCCCCGCCCCGCGACGGAACACGACGACAGACGACGGGTGAGACGCCCACAAGCTACTCCTCTCCCGCATGGGCCAGTGATTCAGAATCGGACGCCCATCCACCCCCGGGCTTATGGCGGTTTGACAACCTCCAGGAATCTCCCTCAAAAGGACTTCACTTGACGGCCAGAGAGAGAGAGAGAACGTTTGGCAAAATATTTCTGGTCTTGTCTTTTAACAAAATCAAGTAAATGGTTCATAAGTTAAAAATATTGAATTAATGCGATTTATGGCGATATTCATGCCAATGTTAAATTCGCTTTCATTATATCACTCGTATTTATTACCACCTTAACTGCATGGTCCCTCAGCAGTATTGTCAAAGCATATGCCACTCTTGTTGTATCGAACTGCATGTTCTACTGCGTGTGAAGCATGTCCTACCAGCTGTGTGAACGCAGTCTCCCAGTCTGTGAAAGCATGCTGGCCCCTAGTCTGAATACGTGTGCCACCTGTCCGAACGCATGTGCAACTCAGTCGAACGCAAGTGCCCCAAGTGAACGCATGTGCACAGTCTGAACGCAATGTGCCCCAATCTGAACGCATGTGCACAGTCTGAACGCATGTCGCACAATCTGAACGCAATGTGCACCAAGTCGAACGCATGTGCACGCAGTTGAACGCTATGTGCCCCTAGTCCTGAATACGTGTGCCACTGTCCGAACGCATGTGCACCAGTCTGAAACGCAAGTGCCCCAGTTGAACGCAATGTGACGCAGTCTGAACGCATGTGCCCCAGTCTAACGCATGTGCACCAGTCCTGAACGCACTGGCACCAATCTGAACGGGCCATGTGCACCAAATCGGAACGCATATGTGCCACCAGTCCTGAACGCATGTGCCCTAGTCTGAATTACGTGTTGCCACCGTCTGAACGCGATGAGCACTCAGTCAGTAACAGCATGTGCACAATGCTAACGCAGATGTGCACCCAATCCAGAGCTGTGCACACCAGACTGACGGCTGTGCAGGCAAGTCTGAACGCATGTTGCACACAGTCCTGACGCATGTGCCCCATTAACGATGGCACCAGTGACCTGTAATTGACCGCACTGTGAGCCATCTGACGCTATACCAATCGGAACGCATGTGCACCAGGTTGCAACGCGATGTTCACCATGTTCTGAACCGCAGTGCACAATCTTGAACGCATGTGCACCAATCGGAACGCAGGTGCACATCGGAA